GCAGCTGGCGCTCGCGATCAGAGCGGCTTTGGGGTGCAGATGCGGGTGTGCTTCAGCCCCGTGGCATGCAGACGAGTCTCACGCGGTTTGTTGAATGCCAGTTGTCCATCACAGCTTATTTGGTCCCTTTTCAGGTTTGAAGTGCGCTATGAGCCGACAGCAACTCTGAATCAAAGGCTGGGGCTGCTGACTTGTGTAGCACAGGGATCGGGCCAGGATGAGCTTGAGTGCATGTGGAGAGGCGAAGCCCAGCTTTCTTTGGTGTTTCTGGGCCAGGAACGCGCATGACTTCTTTGTATTTGACTACAGCCAGAAGCTGGTCGTCGGGACCTTGGCAACTGCGAAAGGGTGGCTTCGCTACAAGTGAACAGTGAAGCCACGAACCTGCTTCTGCTTGAATGGTCAAGAACTGTGCAAAGTGTCGACAGCCAGCATTGGGAAGGCCATCTGCCGTCCGCTTGTCCCAGGTCAACTTGAGAGGCCTGGGCTCCTGGGGATTGCCAACAACTCTGGCCTCATCCCAGCCACGGCTTGCCTCAGACTTGGCAGGAGGGCTGGTGCCAGAACTGGACGTGATTGCCATGTCAGCCCCTGCGTCCGACCAACTCTAGCAAGAGCTTGGGCTGTACACGCGCACAGTCATCAATCCCTGGAGGATCCCCTGGCACTCTGCAGATGAGCCTCTACACTGATGAAGAGAAGGCGGGCTTTTGCCGATGAGCCATGTGCCACTGGAGAAGATTGTTCGGCCGCAATTCTGCTGAGGACAGGGCATGAGGTATGAAGTCTTAGCATGCGCTGGGAAGTGCGAATGGGCACTTGCGTGACTTGAGAGATATCCGACGCGAGGCAAAGGCATCCGAGTCTGTGACTTTGCACGTGGACTGGCTGGAGACACATGGCCAGAGTTAGTCTGCATGGTGTCATGACAGATAACATTGTCGGGACCAGACCGGAGTCGCGAATTTTGTCTGACACAAGCCGCCTTCTCGTGCGTGGATGGACATCCTTGCGGAGTCGAGTGCCTTCCCCATCTCTGTCCGAGGATTGTCTCAGATCCGGTGATGGTGGCTTGGCAAGGGCACAGAACACGGTGTACTCATTTAATTTGCATCCATGTCATTCATTAGGACTCGTGTGACAACTGCCTCATCGAGTGCCACATTGACGAGGCCCAGACCCCGACCCCTCATACGAGTCTCGAGTTGAAGGGGATGGCATGCATTGCCATTCTGGTGAAGCCTTCTGCTGCTATACCATTTCCTAAGCAGGCCTCGATCCCCATCCAGACACGTTGCGATGGCGATGGGCACTGGTTCAGTGGCCGTGGCAAGCATCGACATCGCCAGCAACACCCCCAGCATAGCAGCGGCGCCCCCCAACATCACAAGCAGCACCACGTGTGTATTCGCGCGCTTTCTCCATGAGTCCTGTTTGTGTTCTTATCCCCCCAGCCCCCGCCCTCACTTGTTCATATGGCCGTTGTCGGCTCCGTGATGATCTTGAAAGGCAAACCCAATCCCAGGTCAACCTTGAAGGAACCCTGAAGCCACCCGAAACCACCATCCAACCAAATCACCACTAAAACTAAGCTAACCTTGTCCCTAAACCAACTAAACCTACCCTGAGCCAGGATGTGGAAAAAGATGGCGGGGATGAAACAACACATGCCAGGGATGTTGACAGCGCTGGTGCAAAACGAGTGGATTGTCTTCGAACGTGCCGTGCAATACAGCAATACATTTCAGACGTCTGAAGGGCTCTCTCAAATCCGTTCAAAAAGATCCGCAGAATGGGAAGGCCTGGGCAAGCGGTCCAAGCCTAGACCTCTGCGCAGGTCTTTGCCCCAGGCTCCTACAAACTGGACTCCCTGGCGGTGCTCGCACGTGTCGGGGATGTGGAGCGCAGGACGGCGCTGACCCAGCGGAAGGACTCGCAGGGTCAGCCGGAGCTGGTGAAATGGAGCACGGCCACCCACGGGGAAGTCATAAGGGATTTCTTTTTGAGGTGCTGCTGTTGGAGGGACTTCTACACTTAAGCACGGCGTGTCGTAGCGGCCCTGTTTGGTAGTTGTGGCTCATGTTGCGGGACGATGACGACAATGGTTGGCTAAAATGACGCTGGCTTCCGTGCAGGAGGGAAAGTCGCCAAGTGAAAGCCAGGAGAGGGATTGCACAGTCAGGCATCGTCAGCTCGCTTCTGTTTTGAGCGGCCGGTTTTTCGTCGAGCCAGTCTTCCAGGAATCACTGGAGTCTGGAGCTCCATGATTTGCCACATCAACCGCTCCGGACCCTTCATGGCTCGAGCGCCCGACTAGTCCAGTCAGGCCTGGCCGTGGGCCGTCCCGTGTATCACAATGCAGTCTTTGGTGCTCCTTGTGCTTGCCGTGCCTTTCTGCAATGCGGCCTCGCTGCGGAGTGGCCGTAGTTTAGTGGCTGCGGACAAGATGAGTACGGAAATGAAGCTGTTGATGCCAGAGAAGAAGACACTTGCCTCGGATTGCCTCACTTTTTGGATCCGGTCTCGGCTTGGGAGGTGTCATGGAGGTGTCATAGTGAAGAAAGTTTAATTACGAAGCTTCTTTTCCTCTAAAGGTCTGAGCCTACCCCAATGATTAAATCTAGTTTGCCAGAAGCGCCTTCTCAAAATTATTTTCCCCGCTTATCGCCCTTGATTTTTTAGTTGCTTGTTGTTCAGCTCTGCTCAATTTATGGTTTGCTTTTCTTGCTTTTTCCGGTCTCCTCCTCGCTTGTTGTTTGCTCTTTTCTTCTTGTTTTTGTCACCATGCTTCTCCCTACTTCACGTTTTCCACACATGCTCCTCCTCGCTTTTCTGCCCACTGTTCTACCATGTCTCCTTGCGTGCTCACCCAATCGCCTCAATCACGAAGCTTGCTTTGCCAGTGTAGCCCGCGTTTGCGCAAGGACTCTGGACAGCATTGAGGCCTCGGTCTTGAACATGGCAAGAGCCCAGAAGTCGTCACATGGTGCTACCAACCTCACCGGATTCCTGGATCAGATTCAGGAGAAGGGGCCGGAAACCTGAAACAGGCACTCGAACTGGTTTGCCCAGAAATGGAGCTGCACGAGTCTTTGCTGTGTGTCTTCACTTCAATTCGGGTTGGGGGTCGGGACGGTAAGTCTTGCCAGGAGCTCATTGACAAGACCATGAAAACGAACATTCTGCAGCGCCAGAACCAGACCCAGCTAGACCTAGACATGGCATGGGGCAATCTAAGCACTTGCGCGCACCCCAATGATACCGACTACTCAAGCGAGCTGAAGGCCTTGGACGATGCCCATTCGGCCTGCCGCCAGGAAGAAGGCAGCATTTGGTCGGACTACGACAAGGTCTGCACCGAGGGTCTGAAGATCCATCTTGAAAACAAGAGGATCAAATGCGAAAACTATGACGGCGTTTTGCCCGACCCGGCTGCCACCTGCGTCATGAAAGGAGGCACTTTATCCCCAACCATCGGCCATTACCTCATCGACATGGAGAAAGTCTTCCGCGAGAAGGCCCTTGCCCTGCGGCAACTGAGGGACGGGTGCCAGAATGCCTCCGTGCCTTTTCCTTTCACCGACCCTTGCGGCGAGAAGCTTTGCACCTATCATGACAAGAAGATTGAGTGTGAGAAGGCGCAAGGGGCCTTCGAACAAAGATCCTGTGACATCCACAAGGCTTACACCTGCGCCGCCTTCTCCGGCTGCTACTCCCAGAAGACCGAGGCGTATAACGGCGTCGTGGCGCTGGCCAGGGAGAGCGAGGCGGCCGCCAAGGCGGAATGGAGGGCCGTGCTCAGGATCGAGTGCCTGCTGAAGGCTTTGACCGTGACTGAAGATGAGGTGGACACAGCCATCAACGCGTGCAAGGCAGGTCTGGGCCGGATCTGAGCGCACCTCCCTGAAGATCTTGAAAAAAAAACACGCGCCTTAGCAAGGTGGAATGGCAGAAAAAGATCCTGGAAATGTGATTGGGGGAGTGTGCCAACACATCGGTTTTGATGGATGCGTTATCTTCCAGGCAGCTGCCAAGAAAGGCTCTCAGCTCTCGGGGGGGGGGGGGGACCGGGGAACGTGTGCAAAAACAGGCCCTGGGGAGCAGATAAGTTTGCTTGCCAACCGCCTTGTCAGCGGGACTCGCACAGGCCAAGAGCCATTCCACAGAGCCCGTTGAGTTGACCTACCGTGGTGATGCACCCGCGGCGAGGGCCTGCGAAGAGGCGAGGGGAAATCGAGCAGCGATGAGTTGGGGTCAGTTCCCACATCCCGGCGTGGCAACTTGTTTTTTCTCCTGGTCTTCTGGAAAAAGCGCGTTGAAGAGGGTAGGAAGGACAAACCGGCAGCCGCACCCTGGCTCGGCAAAACACAGAGGGCATGCCCCCAGTCCAAGGTAGGCGACGTGGTCCAGGACCAGTGCCGTGGAACCCCCACGTCGCTTCCACGTCGGTGGCAAAAAGCTGAGGGGCCCAAAACGCTGGCGAAACCCGGTGGTGTTGTTGCCGAGGTTCGCTTGTCCTTCCTTCCTGTACCCGTGTTGAAGGTACTGTATTGTCTAATTATATATTTGTATGAACATGTATACATAATATATTTATAATTAGATATATATATATATATCCATACGCATTGGCTTTTGCCGCAGGTCTTTCTTCAGCCGGGCAGTGCCCCCTTCTCCACTGCCTGGTACAATGGGCTGCCCAGCAGTGCCGGGGCTTCCAGCTGTGCATCGAGCTGCTGCATGGATGGAGACTTCAACCCCGACTACCCCTCGGACGTGGTCTGCCCCTATGTCGCGGGTGTGACCACAATGACCACCACCACTCTGGCGACCACCACCGCAGCACCAGTCAGCATGGCCAGTGACGGGGCAAAAACGGTCCGTTTCAATTCGTAGTACCGTGGCGAGACTCTGACTAGACCGCGCATTGCCAGCTTGCGCGGCAGAAAGGCACGGGAGCCAGCACGGGAGCCAGCTGTGAGAGAGGGGGTGGGTTCATGGGCGCCAATGTTGCATGATGGCTGCCACATGAGTACCTACATGTTCGCACAGACTGGAGTGTGAATTCGACCCTTTCAGGAGCACGAATTCGAGGTCGAGACCATACTCCGCTTGCCCGTGACACACGTCGCGGTCGAGACGGACAGCCTGGAAATTTCAGCTGTGAACAGAAGAGGCCCCAGATGCGAGAGACGGAACTTCAATCGTCGTTGCCGAAAGAGTGCTTTGCAGGCCAAGTCTTCGCGTCCTACTGGCTCTCTTTGCGCTCCCTCATGAAGCAGAAGTGCTCCTTTGTGCAGCAGCATGGTTGCAACTAGGTGGCCTGCTGGGATTGTGATGTAACCTTCCCCACGCCCCTAAGTTTGATGTCAGCCAGGTGGCAGTCGAAGATGAGAGTAAGGGTCTGGAAAACATGGAGGAACTGCCTGAGGAAAGCCTGCAATAGCTGAATGTACCACCACCTTGGTTGAGCATCAAAGTCGGAATTCCAATGCTGGCATGTTGGCAGATCAGCTCTGGTAGCTCAAGCCAGTCATCCATGCCGGACCTGGCCAATCTTGGAACTGTGCCTTGCATGCCTAGCTGCGCAGGAAAGGAAACCCAGTTGAAAGTTGGGGCTTGCCACTGTTTGTTTGAGTACCGCTGCGACTTCTATTTGCGAGAGAATCCAACCTTTGTACTTAATGTTGGACCCTCTTTACACCACCACCCCCCTCCCCCCCCTGTTGGGAGTGGAACCCGTCAGCTGGACCCTTTAGGCAAAATCCTGGGGGTCTCGGAGGGACAGTACTTACTTTAGTACTGCCATATCTACTTTGCCAAGGCCCCCTCTCAGATTCCCAGTGCTGACTTTAGTATTGCCAATTCTACTTTAGTGTTGCCACGGCCTGTGTTTCAGCAGCCCTCAAGAAAGGTCGGACATTGAAGAAGGCCCCAAAACAGTCACATTAAAAAGGCTCAGGGCCTCTTGTGAGCAACCCCTTATGTGCGAATGTTTGCCCTTACTTTTTGTGTAAAGAAGTTATCTTAAAATTGATGGTCTGGGGGCCACTGGCAAAAGAAGAAGGAGGGGCATATATTTTAGGATATTGTTTCCGTTCTTTTTTCCGCTTTTGGCTTATTGGCTTCTTGGCTTTTTTTGGCTTCTTGGCTTCTTGGCTTCTTGGCTTCTTGGCTTTATGCGGCTTTTGGCGGCTTTTTGGCTTTTCGCATCCTCTGCATTCCCAGTTCCTCTTCGGCAGGCGGCGTTTTGGCTTTTGCGGCTTTTCGCTGGTTTATTCGGCTTTTGGCGGCTTTGGCTTTTCGCATCCTTCGGGCTTTTTGGCTTTTGCGCCCTTTCATTGGTTTTTGGATTTGGCTTCCCGCATCATCAGCATCACCACCACCATATTTGAATCATCACTTCTTCGGACATCATGGGGGGAAACCTCCCCCCCCAACCCACCCGCTACTGTTTAGATTGCTTGCACCCCTATTTGAATCAACTCTTCTTCAAACATCATGGGGGGGGGTTGCCGCCTCCCCCCCGTTACTTTTTAGATGTCTTGCAGAGATTGAATTGCACCCCTGTTTGAATCGTCACTTTTTCGAGCGTCCAATTTCGCGAGAAAATGCTGCAAAATACGACATTTTGCTTGCATGCTGGGAGCTGTCGCCCCAGGTCAAATCTGAAGCTGGAGGGTCCAAACATGACGCTGCACACGCAGGCGCTGGTTGACCGGGTCCTGGCAGATGCCGGTTGGGCCATTTGGGGCACAGGAAGCCGGCGGAAATAGCAGTGTCTTTTAGGCTTGGCTCACAGGGGCACGCATCATTGCTTGGCCCTGGATGCTCCAAATGCAAAGTGGGCCTCACACCAACCAGCCTGGTCTTTCTCTCTTTCCCTGTTTCTCTGTTTCTCTCTTTCTCTCTGTCACTTTTTCGTTCTTTCTCTCTCTCTCTCTCTCTTTTTTTAAGGTGTTTTTCCCACCTGAAGCTTATCCTTTGCCCTTTCCTTGCCCGCAAGCTCAGTTTGCTATCCGCACTGCGGCACAGAAACAGCTGATGCAACTCGTCGGGGATGTAATTTTAGCACTCTATGTGTGTGTGGGTGACTTGTGCCATTCTGACCAAAAGTCTCCTTGCGCGAGGTCTCTGTCAGCCTCAAGGGCTTGCGCAGCACCAAGCTGAGCCGGTCGGAGGCAGATACTTGGCGGACATGGCCTAGTCTCCATGGCTTTTTGGCGTCTGGCTTGAGCCAGGAAGGTGCGCAAAGGAACAGACAGACTGGGCTAAAGCCAGAAGAAGCTGTCGGTTGCTCGTTTCTGGGGATGCCTGCATGCCCCAGGACACGAATGCATCGCCCGACGCTGGCTCGCCCCTGACGCACTTTCCAAGCCAGACGTCTGCTTTCCAACTGGACTGGATCAACCAAGTCTATCGCTTCTTGGCCGGCAGTGCTCGCATCCATGCTCTGAAAGATCCAGCCATGTTGCGTCTGTTCAGAACAAAAGGCCTCCTATAGGCATTTCAAGGTGAGAGTAATTAATCAGAATCAGTTGTAGCCCGACATTCTGGAAACAACCTTCCAACCCTTTCTTTTTTTCCAGTGGCGCCTTCAGGAAAGCTGCACCCAAAGATCATGACCATTGTCGCGCGGCAGATGGAGGATCCCTTTGGCGCCTTCACCCAGTCGCTCCGGCTCAAGATGCCCTTGCCATTGAAGGAGCGCCGGGTGCTGTCCTTGGACTTCCCTTGGCCGAATTTTCTTTATGGCTGCGTGTGTTTTTTGGGAGGCTGCCCTGTATTTGGTGTGTTTAAAGGGAGGCCAAAAGGAGAACCACCGTTTTGGGGCGTCCACCAAAGAAATGACACCCCCACATGCCATTCCGCAAGTGAACCTGTTGAACTGTAGGGGTTCTACCTTGTGCAAGTGAATGTATGGATGGGTCGCCCGACGGATTGATTGGCGCATGCCGCTTACATGCACGCGTGTAAGGGCTGCCGCCCCGTTCCGCCGACCCCAGTGCGGAAATGGAGGATCTTTTGATGTACCGTTCCTCAGCCTTCTTCAGCTTTTCGCAGTGCCCAATGGAACAACTGAATTGCATAAACACATGCTGAGAATGACGAGGATAATGGCGATGATGATTATGATGATGATGATGATGACGATGATGACGATGACGATGACGATGACGATGACGATGGCGATGGCGATGATGGTGGTGTGATGCTGGCAATGATGATCATGTGTTCGCATCTCCAATACTGAGGACGAACGTCACAAGTGAAATCTACAGAAGAAAATGAGAACGGCAGCCCAGCATCACCCAAGACAATGATCATGATCATGGAGGTGATGTGATGATGATGATCATCATCATCATCATCATCATCATCATCATGATATATCCTGATTACGCATCCCCAGCATAGCAATGTTTATGATTTGTTGCCAGCGTTCCCGTGCGCCTCCCCTTTTGGCGAGAAAAGGTCGGCGGATATGCGCACTTTATATAAGTGGGCTGAAGCAGGCAGGCAATAGAGACTTGTGGAGGTCGTCTCCGCTTCATGTTAGGGTATATGTTGCATGCGCAGTGCAGCTGGGAACAGCTGCTGCCACGTGCATTTTGACGGGATTTGGGGGTTGAGTGTTTCCTGTGGTGCTAAAATTGGGTGCGGCGCTGGTTCATGATGTGGACATGTTGTTCCACGAAGGTTTGCAGGCCATGATTTCTGCGTTTCGGTCCTCGCTCGAATCTGACCAATTTTGATGCTGCTTCGATTTCTTGCTTAACACCGGCAAAGCGCATCCACGCATCAAAGCATGGGTGGTGACTTGTTTGCTTGTTGGATGGGTCCCGTTCCTGCCAAACGAAGCCGAGGTGAATACCACGGGGTAGGGCTGATATACGTACAGGCGATCAAGACAGTGGTTTTGAGTTGTAAGTACATGAAAGTACATGTTACAGCCTCAGCGTTGCAAGTTCCCAGGGGGTCTTTCGGCAGGACATTCACTTTAGCCACTTTTTGCTGGGCACCACGCCGCCCGAGTTCGGGCCCTTTGAGGCACCTGCCTTAAGCGGCGTTCGGGATGCAAAGACTCCGGTCATGTCGCCTGTGGATGCCCAATCTTGAACAACCAATGTGGAATTCAAGTGGCGCATCATGTGCAGTTCCTAGAGCCAGACGAACTAATGTCATTGGGAGTCTTGAAGGCCTGTTTGGCGACGAGCATCATGTTCCCACACAGCATGCAAGGATCCAATCCTGACTGAAGTTGGTGGCCTTGCCTTCACGACCTTTGTAAAGCTTTCGATTTCAAGTCGGGTGAGGGACTTAAGGGGAAGCATGATGGGCGTAAGACGCGCTGACTGCCGTAGCCAGGTCTCCGAGTGGCTGAGCCCTCGGGATGGCGCCATGGGCGTTGAGCTGCAGGCGGGCTTCGATGGCTTGGTGCACTCGGCACCTGCGTGGGGTGGGCGTTGACTCGGAGCGGGCGTGCAGAGCAGGTGGGCTTCTTTCTGGACACCGAGGCCAACATTGAGTTGAAAGTGTGCCCTGGAAAGATGCGTATGCTGTTCGCAAAACAACCGCCTGCACCATTCAGTGGATGGAGGAGGGCGAAACATGGGAGTAGATCATCCTTGCGAGCTGAGCTGGGATCTTGAAATTGGTGCCACCTGATGGCTAACCCCTTGTGGAAGCAGCTTCTCCATTCTGGGGCGAAGTTGAGTGCGGACTTTGACCGTTTGTGACCATGTTGCAGACTTCGCCCCACGTCAATGAAGCTGGCAGGAGGGAGGTCTGATTTGGGGCACGGCTGAGCCATCGCAGCCCAAGGCGTGGCGCCACCTTGGGAGTGAACCGGATTCGGTTGAAGGGGGACCTACTGATTCGCCTGGAGCCATTGATCGAGGAGCTGCCTGTGGTGGGTGGTGTGGCCCCTTGGAGGGACATGGAGCAGCTTTGCTCCCGGCATCTCGACCAGCGCACGGAATTTCTGGCCACCCCTTGA